GGCAGTTGAGAAATAAGCAATTAAGTCAATTAGACATGCTTCCCTAAGCTAACAGCAGGCTTAAATTGCAAATAGTATAAACAGGAAAGGAAACACAATTTTAGTTACTTAATGAAAACCGAATTTTCAACAATTAGCACAAGTACGCACTCATCACCTTATGTACAAGGCATTTCAAATATCAACCATACCAAATCCTAAGGGGAGTTTCCCCCACACAAGGTTAGGCAAGCCACTTACCTCAAACCGACTCAAAATCAACCCGAAACCACGTTCTTGCCACGAGTGCTCGACTCCAAATGGCCCAAATCTATTCAATTCAATTGCATAATATAAATATAACTTCAAGTAATTGATTCCTCAAATAAATTCTAAGCTAATACGCGAAATTAGGTAAAATGACCAAAACGCCCTCCGTGCCCACGTCTTGGAATCGGGTAAAATTTACATTTTTAGAATCCTCATACTCTCACGAGTCTAACCATATCAAAATTATCCAAATCCAATGTCAAATTCCCAATCAAAACTCGAAATTTAGGTCTAAGAACTATCTCCAACTTTTTTCCCAATTTTCATCCCAAATCCGATATTAAATGACAAAACTAAGATTAGATTAGAGGAATACAACTAGAAAGGGATTAGGAATCGTTATCCACTGTTTTCCTTGTATAAAATCTCCCAAAATCGCCCTCTCCCGAGCTCCAAATCAATTTTTCTAACTTTTGAAACTAAACCCTCGTTCTGCCCCTTTTCTGACCAGTGAAACCGCATTTGCGGCTCCTGCGAAGACCTGGTCGCATCTGCGACATCTCATTAAACGGGGCTTTCCGCACCTGCGACTGCCTCTCCGCAGATGCAGTGCCACTTCTGCGGTGCCCTTGACCGCATCTGCGGTCAACTCCCTTTTCGCCTCAAACCGCATCTGCGATACTTCAACCGCTTCTGCTGGCTCGCACCTGCGGTCCCCAAGCCGCAGGTGCGGTTATGACAGCAGACTAGCAGCTTCAGCTGTAAACTCTCAACTCCAAACTTCCCGTTAACCATCCGAAATTATCTCGAGGCCCCTAGGACCTCAACTAAAAGCACGAACAAGTCATATATCACTATCCAAACTTATACCAATCTTCAAAACACCTCAAACAACATCGAAACACTAAATCATCATCTAATTCAAGCCTAAGAATTCCAAAAACTTCCAAATTACCCTTTCGATCAAAAAGTCTATTAAACCTCGTCCGAATGACCTGAAATTTTGCACACACGTCACATTCAACACTACGTACTACTCCAACTTCCGGAATTCCATTTCGACTCTTAGATCAAAATCTCAGTATCGAACCGGAAACTTCAAAAATTAAACTTTCGGCATTTCAAGCCTAAATAAGCTACGGACCTCTAAAACACCATCCGAACACATTCCTAAACCCGAAATCACCCAACGGAGCTAACGGAACCAACAAAATTCCATTCCGAGGCCGTCTTTACACTGTTCCGACTACAGTCCAAATTCTAAAACTTAAGCTCTCATTTAGGGACTAAGTGTCCCAAAACTCTCCGAAACTCCAAATAAATCCTCCCGGCAACTCACAATAGCAGAAACAAACATGGGGAATACAGTTAATAGGCGATCGGGGCGTAAATTCTTAAAACGACCGTCCAGGTCGTTACAAAAGTATTGCATTGTTGCATATAAAGTTTGATGTTATAATAGATTTGTTAAGCGCAGATGGTTCGCTTGGTCATGTTTAGTGATCTGGTGCCGGTCACGGCTTGTGCAGAAAATGGGTTGTGACAAACTTATGTAACGCGTCACTAGGGTTTAAGAATTGTTAACTTATATATCCAGCATCCCTCTTGTGTTTTTGCCGATGTGGGACTCCGCCCCTCTTATGGACTCAGCACGTTGAACTCTGACCCATCACCGGCAAGGCTGACACAATAGTGGCTCTGATACCATCTGCAACAACCCAGCCCGCTAGTGATATTGTCCATTCTGGGCCTAAGCCCTCACGGGTTTAAAACGTGTCACTAGGGTTTAAGGCTTGTTAACTTATATACCCAGTACCCCTTTTGTGTTTTTGCCGATGTGGGACTCCGTCTAAAGTCTGGGGTGTTACATTGTATATCTCAAACAATGACACGACGCTAAAAGCTCATATATGGTCATGGATCGAGGCATATATACTAAACATTAACATAAATGAAACTTATGTAATGTCACAAAAAACAAAGAATTTAGACCCATCAGTGAAACAACGAAACAATTAGACTACTATCGAGACTTATAATCTAGTGGTATCAGTTATAGTCTTTCACACAATAAATGTTAATTCAATTCTCATTATTCTTTTTTCTCGTTACTCGACATAATAAAAGAAAGAGAAAAACAACTAGTACCTCATCAAGGGTCTAGTGTTAGAATGCCTACATACTTTTCTAGTATCTCATAATTATCCACCGAAAAAAACCCTGTAATGTTAGTAAATTTTAGGTAAATTCCACTAAACACCCTTCTAATACGACTTAATTACAGATACACCTCATGTACTCTTAAATCAAGCAATTACACCCCTATATTATGAAAATCTTATACAAATATTAGTTTAAATAACATTTTCATTTTACAAATATGTTAAGTGTTTATATATCTTCATTCAGTCAACTAGTCAACGAATGAAGATATATGTAAGGTAAAAACTTTAAATATTTCTTCCCGTGAGAAAGCAATTATCTTTCAAAAGAGCACATCTCATTAATTTATGACTTACTAATAATTCAACATCTTTGTTTGATTTGCTTCTATAGTTGAAACAAGCAAATTAGCAAGTTAATTACAAAGTATCAGATTTCTAAACTATAAAAGAGTAAATAGTAAAAGAGCTGCCATTTCTTACTTGGAAAGAAAATCAATATCATACTATTAGAAACATAGTAATAGAATATGAAATAGTTTGAAAATCTAATCAAGATTAAGTTTAAAGTAACAACTTAAGATTTAACACCAGAAACTACACCTCTGATAACTATATATATCCCTCCCTATATGTCATGATACTCACAACTCAAGAAAAAGAAACACCATTTGCAAAAAAAAAACAGAAGAAAATGGCTCCAATTTTGAATGGTGATGTAGACATTGTGATACCAACAATAAGAAGCTTGGACTTTTTGGAAAATTGGAGGTCATTCTTTGAGCCATACCATTTGATCATCATTCAAGATGGAGATCCTACCAAGGTGATTAAGGTCCCTCAGGGCTTCGATTATGAGCTCTACAATCGCGATGACATTAACCGAATTCTTGGTCCTAAGGCTAGCTGCATCTCTTTCAAGGATGGTGCTTGTCGTTGCTTCGGGTTCTTAGTTTCCAAGAAGAAGTTCATTTACACCATTGATGATGATTGCTTTGTAAGTAGCACTTTCTCTTATTGTTCATGTTTAATTTTCTTGCATACATGTTGATTTATTTGGGATATGAGATTGATTTTTTCGTCTTGTGATAAAGGTGGCAAAGGATCCAAGTGGGAAAGACATTGATGCATTGGCACAACATCTTGACAATCTGACGAAACCATCCACACCCTACTTCTTCAACACTCTGTATGATCCATACAGAGAAGGCGCTGATTTCGTTCGAGGGTATCCATTTAGCTTGAGGGAAGGTGTGCCAACAGCTGTTTCTCATGGCCTGTGGCTTAACATCCCTGATTATGATGCCCCTACTCAGCTTGTCAAGCCTCGCGAGCGTAATACCAGGTTAGTTTGTATGGAAAAAATTGAATGCATACATACTTTTCCTTAATTATACTAATAGCTTTCTAGTATTGGCTCAAACAGGTATGTGGATGCTGTGATGACAATCCCAAAAGGGACACTCTATCCCATGTGTGCTATGAATCTTGCATTTAACAGAGAACTTGTTGGCCCTGCTATGTATTTTGGGATTATGGGAGATGGCCAACCTCTTGGTAGATATGATGATATGTGGGCTGGTTGGTGTTCCAAGGTATGTTAATCTGTTTCTTGATTGTTTTGGTTTTAGCCCACGAGTTGTTGAAACAATCGTACATTATGTTTTAACGTAAATATGCTTAAAATTGCAGGTGGTGTGTGATCATTTGGGCTATGGAGTGAAGACAGGGTTGCCATATCTGTGGCACAGTAAGGCTAGCAATCCATTTGTGAATTTGAAGAAGGAATTCAAAGGGTTGTTTTGGCAAGAAGAGATGATTCCCTTCTTCCAATCTGTTGTCCTACCAAAGGAATGCACAAATGCTCAACAATGCTACCTTGAGCTGGCTAAGATGGTGAAGGAAAAGCTTGGTCCAATTGATCCCTATTTTCATAAATTTGCTGCTGCTATGGTCACTTGGATTGAGGCTTGGGAAGAATTCAATGCACCAGCAAAGGCTAAGATTGACTCTGTGAAATCTGCTTAGACACCAAAGTTCATTTAGTTTCTTGATGTTGTATCTTGAAACTTTATTGCTATCGCTTTGATTCAGTTCAGTTCTGTTTTTGTTTTTGTTTTTGAATAAAAAACCTTTTCTTAGTCAGTGTACTAGGAAATGAGTTTCAATAGCAGCAGGTTAGTTATAGGCTTGTAGCCATATTTACTTCTCCTGTTTTGCTTAAGAATAAACATTGAATTTGCTTTTTATGTCCAGGGTTTGATATATAGCATTATTCATAGCATGTCTTCAATCTTAAAAAAAAAAAAAAAAACAGTCTGGTGCACTAAGCTCCCGCTATACGCGCAGGGTCCGGGGAAGGGCTGGACCACAAGGGTCTATTGTACGCAGTCTTACCCTACATTTCTGCAAGAGGATGTTATCACCACTATAACCCGTGACCTCCTAGTCACATGGCAGCAACTTTACCAGTTACGCCAAAGCTCCTTGCCATGTTTTCAATCTACAGACTAAACAAATTGAGATTGCACAAAACATTTCCTAACCATTTTTTAAGTCTAAGGAGAAACATAAAAGATTCCATCATCGAAAATTGAAAATGAACATCAATTATATGAACAGTACCACCTAAACAATTGAAAGTTTTCTAAGTGAAAATGATTATTTCACTCGAAATACTCCTCAAACAAGTTTTTCAATATTTCAACTACCGAAATTCAGTATTTGCAAATATTAAACATCAATATAAAGGTCATGTTGGGAGTTGAAAAACCTCTTCAACTTGTTTTCCTGCTATCAAGAAAATGCCTTGTGAGAATGCTGATATAGTAATAGTTAAAAGAGCCATGAAAAGCAACCATAAACAAGTTATAGAATACCAACTCTTCCGTTTTGGCAGATTAACTGATGCCTTGAGATTACCTTCAACCATCCAAATTTCTCGATCTTTTGATTCTTTTTCAGTTGCAAAAGTAGAGGTTGATGAGCAAGAAATTAAGGAATCATTTCCATCCATTTGTTTAAGTAAACCAAGACAATCACTGCATATTTCCTCTTCACTAATACAACTTTTCTCATCATTTTCCTCGAACAGGCGTCTTCCTTTAAGTTTACCACTGGCTAAAGCAGTCTTTCTGTCCCTTAGTATTTCTTCAACAGCCAAATCATTCTTCTTCGCTTTCCAATTAAGCCTTTCTTCTAGTGGTGATTCGCTGTCCTGCAGTGAAGACATTAGACTTCTTGGAGAGTTTTCAAGAAGTTTAAAAATGTCCAGAGTAGAACTAGAAGAGTCTGATTTTGCAGAAATCTGAGGAAAATTCACTGATTTATAATTGGATTGCTTAAAACTGTCCCAATCTTTTTGAAGATTCATGCACTGTTTGTACAGTGCTTCATTTTCACTTTCTTTGTTTCCTCTTTTTGATCTTCTCATTATGACGGTTTGTTCTTTTCAACATGGCCAATTCTTGCTTTTTTTGTTGTTGTGGGGTTTCTATAGTTTTAACTTTAAAAAAGTTAGTTTTCCAAGAAAAGAAGGATTCTGCATGAAATTAAATCGGGATTTTAGGCTACTTAGCCACGATGCGTAATCATCCTGTCTTCTGGTTTTTGAAATTTGATTTTGTGTGATAAGAGTGGTTAAAATCTTTAATACTCCAAGTGTTAAACGGCTTTAGCGGTCGGTCTATTTCGAACTAATAACCTTTGGATGAAATCATAACTCACCCTCTACATTTGTCCTGCGTGTACATAGAGTTGCATCAAGTAGCAGCCTAATGCCCTGAAAACGACGGTATTTGGTCATGAGTATAGTATTACTTGTTACTAAGACTTTCTACATGTGTATAATTTCTTATTTTATCCTACTTTCTCTATTTGGGGAACTATCTATTGCTCGCAAGTATTGGACATACCAAGATTGATTAACCTTTTACTTTATCATATTATAGTTGAGAATAACATGTGAACAATACAATAAACAACTTCTTCGGAACATATAAAATCCTTCCAGGATGGTAAGATCTATCGAAGCAACAAAAATTAAAACTAACCAACTAGACAAAAACTTATGGTAAAAATTAGATTTAGTTACAGCTTATAACATAAATTTTGTCAAGTTGACCCTTCTTCCATTTCGTACTATACATATAATAGAGTACACGTCGACATTAAGACCTTTAAAAAATTAGATACGGTTTTTGGGTCATTCATATAGTTGAAATAATATGCACATTTCTCCCTTGTACAAAGCACACAAATTAAAATAACTCTAGATTGGTCTTAACATTGTTTTAAGTTACCACGCTTAAGAATGCTGTTGGTCACAATAGGTATTGTTAAAGTGTAAAACTATTTAGCTTTCACATTCCAACTAATAGCCCTTGGTTTACCAAGGAAGTTGTGATTGATAAAATTCTAACCGTACCACGATATTTACGTCAAATCATACAATGTACCATGATTAAGTATTTAATAAAGTAATAATATGTATTAAAGAATCATGATAAGGTGAAAGAAATCAATACACAAATATATTTTATGCATCTATTCATTCGGTATAAATATCGAGTGTGGATAAGTTTTTACCCGGTTGTAACTCTCTATAAGTAAAACGTGCATTTTTGTGATTTTGAGTCTTGCTGACATGTTTCACAGTAGGTATCAACCTGGAACTGTTGCATAAGAAAAGTAATTTATCTTATTTGGCACAATAACATAACCTTAGTCCATGTGATTAAACAATTTGGTACGTGATAGAGCCTTACTACCAAGTCCAGTTCCTGGTTGAGCTTACTAAGTGTTGGGCCTTTCCTTATTGGCCATCTTTCATTTTTACATTTCAGGGAACCGGTCCTTGTCCGGATAGTTTGAATTGTAGCCACATTCATTTGTACATATAAATAGAGTTAGTTGACTCTATTTTTAATTAATGGATCAATTTCTATTTACTCTGTCGTCTCTCAGTTCTTCTCTCTCACCGACTTAGGCGATTAGGGTTTTCTACTTGATCCAATTCTCAAATTCCTCGTTGATTTCATAGGTTAACATGGTATCAGAGCATCGATCCGAGTTGTCAGCAACGCTCTTTATCATTTCATTGGTTTAGTTTCTTTGGTTTCGTCAATCACGATCTTCCCCGATGATTTCGACGGTTCAGACAATGTTTGGGGTTTTCTGCAGATTTTGCCTCTACAAGATTAGGTTTCACTTTCCTTGAGTCCAATCAAGGAATTCCGGTAACATCTCTTCGATTCCTCACAGTAATTGATAGATTGTTCAAGTTTGTGCCCTAATTTTGAAAATTGTTCATATTTGTGTCTGATTTTCTGTGTACTTGATATGAAACATTGGGTTTAAGACTTTGTTGTATATGTCAAATAGTTTCAATCTCTATTTTCAACTTTGAATTGCATGCATGGCCCCAGACTCGACTGCTATCTCATCACCTACCTCTACTGCAATTCCCCTTAACACCTCACTTGATCCTTCTCATCCGTTGTATGTGCATGCATCAGATAATCCAGGAGTTACACTGGTAGTTGTCCCTTTCTCTGGTACTGGGTATGTATCTTGGAGAAAGAATGTTCTTATTGCTTTATCTGCTAAGAACAAAGCTTGGATGGTTAATGGGAGAATCACTCAGCCATCTCCTGACTCTTCTTTGTATGACCACTGGCTAAGATGCAATGACATGGTCTTTACATGGTTGAGTAATTAAGTGTGTAGGGATATTGCTGACAGTGTACTTCACTGTGACAGTGCAAGTGATCTTTGGAAGGATATAGAGGAGAGATATGGTCAATCTAATGCTAGTAGATATTATCAAATTCAAAGAGAAATTGGTGGAGTCTCTCAGGGTTCTAGTGACATTGCTAGTTATTACACTAGGTTAAGAAAATTGTGGGATGAGTTAAAAACTACTTCATTTGGGCAAGCTTGTACCTGTAGAGCGGAACCACAGTGCAGAGAAGGATAATGGCTCATTCATTTTCTTACTGGGTTGAATGAAACATACTCCAATGTTAGAAGTAACATCCTCATAATGATTCCTGTGCCTTCTTTGAGTAAAGCCTATTCAATGTTACTACATGATAAGAGTCAAAGGGAAATTCAAGCTTCAGGATCTTCATTTCTTTCTGAATCAACTTCCTTTCATGCCAAATCCACTCCTGTTCAAAACACTTCAACAAACAAGTCTTACTCTCAGAAAATCAGTTTTGATAATAAAAGGTCAAACATTATGTGCAAATACTGTAGAAAACCTGGTCATTCTGTTGACGGGTGTTATAGGCTGCACGGGTTCCCTCCCGACTTCAAATTACCAAAGGGCAGAAGGTTGTAGCCGGTGTTCAGCTTGATGACCCTAGAACTGATTCCTTTTCAGCTCCTGAAGCTCTACCTGGAAGTCCAGTCCATGGGTTCAGTAAAGAGCAGTATCAACATCTCATGAGTCTATTCCAACAGTCTCATGAATCTGCTGCAACTCAGGATCCCAGCATTGCCTCTTCTACTGTGGGAGCATTTGCAGGTGTGTTTTGTAGTTTTGTTGTGTATTCTGTTGCTTTATGTTGTGTTTCTCAATTAAAGTAATACTTGGATTCTAGATTCATGAGCTACCAACCATATGACCCCACATAAAGAACTCCTACACAATATTCAACCATTACTTTGTCCTTACCTAGTAACACTACCAAATAGTTACAAAGTAAAAGTCAATTGCATTGTTCTTTGAAACTGTGTAATGATTCATTTTAGCAAATGTTCTTTTAGTTCCTTCCTTTCAATTCAATTTGATTTATGTGCCACAGTTAGTTGATCAATTTCAATGTACAACCCTCTTTACCAATATCTCTTGTTGTATACAGGCCCCTTCTCTGAAGAGGCCACTGGAAATTGGTAGAGCTGCTAATGGATTGTATATCATTCATTCAGATCTTATTATGGGACAGTCTATTTCATCTGTAAATACCACATCAGCTATATCTTCATCTCTTAAATGTGATTACAGTGCTTGTACAACTACTTGTAATCATGTTTCTTCTATCAATAAAGTTGATCCTTTCTGTCATTTAATAGAAGGAAATCTATTTCAGTTCTTTTTGATAAATTGTCTTCAAAACAATCCTTTATTTGTCCCGTTTGTCCCTTAGCTAGGTAAGGACATATAATGGGTTTAGGTATTTCTTGACTACTTTTGATGATTTTTCAAGAGTGACATGGACACACTTACTTTCTTGTAAGAGTAATGCTTTTTCTATTATCAAAGCTTTTGTTTCCATGGTCCAGAATCATTTTAACTCTAAAGTTCAAACAATTAGGTCTGATAATACATTTGAGCTAGGCTCTAGTGCTCAAATCTCATCCTATTTTGCTGATTCTGGGATTTTTCACCAAACCACAATTCCCCACACTCCTCAACAAAATGTGGTTGTTGAGAGGAAACACAAACATCTCTTGGAAACATCAAGAGCACTTTTATTTCAATCTAAACTACCCGTCAAATATTGGGGTGATTATGTGCTTACTGCTACCTACCTGATCAACAGGTTTTCCTCTAGTGTTTTACACAACTTGTCACCTTTTGAGAAATTTCATGGTCATCCTCCTACATATTCTCATCTAAGAACCTTTGGTTGTCTTTGATTTGCTACCTTGCCAAAGGTGGGTAGGGATAAATTCCAACCTAGAGCATCTCCATGTGTTTTTCTAGGTTATCCTTTAGGAAAGAAAGAGTATAAGTTGCTTAATCTTACATCTCAATCCATCCTATTTTCTAGGGATGTCATTTTTCATGAGCATATTTTCCCATATCATTCTTCATCTCTTCATCCTGCTTTTCCCATTTCACCTGATCCCTTTACAGATATTTTCTCTACTGCTACAACTCTTGCATCTTCACCTGTTCAGGTTCTTCAACCTGCTTCACCAGTGGCTTCTTCTCCTCATGCTCCTCATTCCTCTTCTCCTACCCTTTCTACTGTTCCCTTTACTGTACCCCCTAGGATATCCACTAGAGAATCTAACACACCTACCTATCTTCAAGACTATGTCTACTACACAACCATTCCCACTTTTCCTGTGAATTCCAAGGTTACCTCTACTGAGATTCATATGCATGAACCTCAGTTTTACCGTCAAGCAGCACCTCATCCTGCTTGGCAGGATGCTATGGTTAAATAATTTCATGCCTTGGAGGCAAATCAGACTTGGGACATTGTTCATTTGTCTCCAGGAAAGAAGGCCATACAATGCAAATGGGTATATAAAATCAAACAAAGGTCTGATGGTTTAATTGAGAGATATAATGCAAGATTAGTAATTAGAGGTGATTCTCAGAAAGAGGGCATAGACTATTTTGAAACTTTCATTCCAGTTGTCAAGATCACAACTGTCAAGTGCTTTCTCACCTTAGCAGTCAAGCATGGTTGGGCAGTCCACTAATTGGATGTCAACAATGCTTTCCTGCATGGTGATCTCCATGAAGAGGTGTACATGAAAATCCCTTTGGGCTTGACCATTGCTCCTTTTTCCTATGATCCTCCTTTGGCTTGCAAATTGAAGAAATCCCTCTATGGTCTAAAGTAGGATTCTAGACAATGGTTTGCAAAGCTCTCCCAGTCTCTCCTTTCCAGAGGTTACTCCCTTGCAAGAATGACTCCTCTTTATTCACCAAAATCACTGCCTCCTCCATTATTATTTTGGTAGTGTATGTGGATGATATACTTTTAGCTGGTGATAATGGTCAAGAAATTGCAGATTTGAAAGCCTTTTTAGATCAAAAATTCAGAATCAAATATCTTGGTTCTGTTCATTATTTCCTTGGCCTTGAGGTCTCTTTGGTAGAAGGTGGTTATGTAGTACATCAACACAAGTACACAAAGGATATCCTATCTGAATTTCACTATCAAGATGCCAAGCCTGTTACTACTCCTCCTGATCCCCAAAACAAGCTCCATATTGATTCTGGTGATCCCATTTCTGATCCTTCTATCTATAGATTGTTGATTGGCAAGTTGAACTTCTTGCAGCACACAAGGCCTGACATCTCTTTCTCTGTTCAACATTTGAGCCAGTTTCTGGTATCTCCTAAAGTTCCTCATATGTTAGTTGCACTACATGTTCTCAGATACCTTGCTAATGACCCTGCTCAGGGTATTTTACTCAGCAGCTCTTCTAATTTCACCCTTAATGCTAACTCTGATTCCGACTGTGTTGCCTGCCCTATCTCAAGGAGACCTATTACTGGATATTATATTCTTCTTGGTGATTCTCCTGTTTCTTGGAAGTCCAAGAAACAACCTACTGTTTCCTTAAGCTCTGCTGAAGCAGAATATAGAGCTTTGAGACAGGTGGTTGCTGAGGTTTCCTGGCTGCTTAGGCTTCTTGCTGATATAGGTTTGTCTATTACTTCTCATGTTTCTATTTTTGTGATAGTCAAGCTGCTGTACATATTGCCAGAAATCCCGTTCTCCATGAGCGCACCAAACATATTGAAGTGGATTGTCATTATGTTAGGAATGTTCTTTCTTCTAGGGTGATTTCTTTTCAGCATGTGCATACTTCTGCCCAACTAGCTGATATGCTTACCAAAGCCTTAACTGGTGTTCCTCATCACAGACTTTTATGCAAGCTTGGTGTTCAATCACCCTCAAGCTTGGGGGGGGGGGGGTTATAGAGCCTTAATACCAAGTCCAGTTCCTGGTTGAGCTTACTAATGTTGGGCCTTTCCTTATTGGGCCATCTTTCATTTTTACATTTCAGTGAACCGGCCCTTGTCCGGATAGTTTTAGTTTTAGCCACATTCATTTGTATATATAAATAGAGTTAGTTGACTCTATTTTTAATTAATGGTCAATTTCTATTTAATCCGTCGTCTCTTAGTTCTTCTCTCTCACCGACTTAGGCAATTAAGGTTTTCTACTTGATCCAATTCTCAAATTCCTCGTTGATTTCATAGGTTAACAGTACGTGTGAACAATTCCTCTATTTTTTTAAGACTTAACGGTCAACGTATCTTTGAAAATATAGTTATTTCTATGGTTTTTAAAAGTAGTTGTGAATAAAATAACAACGTAAAAATCTTAAAATTATCAATCTTATGAAGAAATACAATTATCCAATCATGAACGGAAAAATAAATGTCAGTAAAATTTAATAACTTTAGCCATTTTCATTAGATTAATTATGCGACTATTGCACTTCAAGTTCCTTGAACATTTCTAGTTTCCCAACATATTGTTTATGAATGGAAATGAATCCACCCCCTCCTTCTGGATTTTCATTCGTTTAACATTCTTTCTACTTCACCTGAATTATCTGTTACGAGAAAAGATACCAAAAGCAGCATAAAAACGGAGGTCCTCTTCTTGTATAGAAGCATTGACCATGCCTACTAATCTAAAGCAAGATTATGACCAAAACCTTGGTAAGTTATTCAGTTAATTTCATCATGATTAACGTAGTAAACTCCATATATTATATATATAGTTGGAGTATACGAACCTATTCATTTATTTAAGTTGGGCTTCAGGTTTGAAGATGTTATTATGTCATGTAGAAGAAGAAGAAGACGAAGAAATTGCACAACATGTTATTTTAACAAGATGTCAGATGCTCATTCCCATGTTTGCCAGGTACTATATAGTATCAAGCTTCGCTCTCTACTTTGTTTTCCTACCAAATAATAACAAAGAAAAAACATAACTCGATGGTTGTATACAACGGTGGCAAATGAGCTGGTCGGTTCGGATATGGTCAGATCGAAAACGTGTAAGAAAAAAACTAATAAAAATATCGACCCGACCTATTTTTAATACGGCTAGAAAATGGGTTAACTAACGGATAATATGGATATTCATATTGTCTATGATTTCTTGAATATAATCAGTGATCACTTTTGGGAGAATTTCTAATCTCCCAAACTTGATGAACACCAAATTAATGCCTTTGCAAATTTATAAGTCAAACCCATGGGTTACCCATGGGTTATCCATTTTTAAGTGAATATAAGATGTGGAAGAAATACTAATTCTTTTTTTGGGTACATTTATTATTTTATTTTGTTGCGAAAACATCTCTATAATCTCTCTCTATTTGTTACACTTTTGTTTTTTGGTTCCTAAATTGGTGTCTAATATCTGTCTTGAGACTCAACTAATCAACCGATTTTGTATAAAAACGTTCCTAGCCACTATGGGTGAAGCACTTCTTACCAAAATGATCTTGAGTAAATATTTACATCAAACCAATAAATATATGACACATGTCTTTACAGTTTTTGTTAAATCACTAAACTATAATTACATAATACACTTTCTCTTCTTAATTTCTCACTTTACCATGATATAAGATCTAATATAAACATCCGGTAAATTGTTACAATTTTCAACTCGAACCTTTTGTTAGGATGAAATATTAATTTACAAGTTCGACTCGGCATAGAGTGCAACTTTGAGAAATATAATATAACATCAATCAAGAAAACACCACTGAAGAATATCCCGTTTGACCACAAATTTTGGCTCAAATATTTGAAAAATTATTTAAAATAAGTATCAATTTATCAACTTGACACATTGTTTAAAGTTCAAAATATGATTTGAAGTTTGAAACATAAGCTTTTGGATTAATTTGGTAAACTTTTAGAAATTAAAAAATACTAGATTAATTTCATTCTTTTAAAATTATATATTTCCTTAAAAAAACAGTAGTAATAAATTGCTTAAAACTTTTCTCATATCAAAAGTTTAAGAAAATTAAATCTTGAAATATTTGTTACTTAAAAGTTATTGAGAAGAAAGGTGTAGAGTGAGAAGTCGTAATTTATAGGAGTACTAATTAAAATTTTCACAGTTTTACTTTGACTTCATTATTTGACCAAACAGAAAGCAAAACCAAAGAGAAGAAAACAGAGACGCTACGAAGTTGAACCCTTTATTCTTCTGCAAACAAGCTCAGTTCTTCTTGTGTATGCTTTCTTTCCACTACTTCGTCGTCTTCGTTTTTCTTTCTTTTTTTCCAATTTTCCTTCTTTCAACAACCCGACCCGGATGTTTTTTGAGCTGAGTGTGGGGGTTGCGGGTCGGGGAGTTTCTGTTTGTTATTGCGTGTGTTCTTTATGCAATTACATAACAGATTCGACTTGGTTTTGAGGTTAGAATTTGCTGTTATTGCTTTATACTTTGAGTAATGCTACTTTTTTCAGGCTGCAATTGGGACAAATGGGAACAGAAGGTGAACAATTGACGGAGCAGGAAACGGCCATTTATGATCGTCAAATTAGGGTTTGGGGTGTTGATGCTCAGAGAAGGTAAACATCAATATGACGCGCCACGAACAGATAGCTGTTTAACATGTACATCCACTTGCTGAGTAAAAAAGAAAGAAATATACATCGACTTAAACACATAAATTTGTATACCAGTTTTTTATTTGGAAATAAAGAAAATAAGTAGTAGAACATCTCTATTTGTTCAATTTGGATTTCAATCTGTATTATGTGTTGTTTTGCTTCAGGCTCAGCAAATCTCATGTATTTGTCAGTGGACTGAAAGGAACTTGTGTTGAGGTAGCTTTTCTACTTTTTGAACTCTTTTTGTTGTTGATATTTTTTAGCACTCTGTTTATTCAGCAACGCTCAACAGAACTTTTTAATCATTAATTATAGTATTGTCTCTTTGAATTGGGACTGTTATGTGATAATTCACCAAGCTATATAAATATTACACGTCATGATTATTGGCACCTTGATAGGATATGTTCCTATTGAACATCTAGACTACCAGTTGCTAAAATTAATTTTGAGTAGCTTCTTGTACTTGTTCTATCTTATTTTTTTCTTCATGTTTTGTTTAATTATTTACCTTTTTTCCCAGTTCTGCAAGAATATTGTTTTAGCTGGAGTAGGTAGTTTGACGCTAAATGATGATCGCTTGGTAACAGAAGAGCTATTATTAGCTAATTTCTTAATTCCTCGCGATGAAAATGTATTCCCTGGGAAGTCCATTGCTGAGCTTTGCTGTGATTCATTGAAGGATTTCAACCCTATGGTTTCTGTTTCGGTAGAGAAAGGTTGGTTTTTTTTTTCAAATGAACTATTAGTTTGCTTCTTTCCTCTAACTCATGCAAAATTTTGTATTTCCATTGCTGTTCCTTGATCTGGACATTGCTTCTCAAGTTGAATGCAGGATGAAAGGAAGATAGTAAGTTGGTGGGATAAAAACGGAAGCAAGAAATTAGAAATAATTAAGCACAGCAGCATCACAGTTTCACTAGCATCATCTGTTAAAAAGAATGTGGAGGATATTTTGATAAGTATACTCAGTTTCAAGGGAAAAGCTTAGGATGTCTCACAAAAAAAAAAAAAGAATTGGTTTCTTGTTAACTTTGTTTGACATTTTGCAGAATAAGCATTTGCATTTCTTGATTCGCTGTCGTGGTGCATCAGGAAGTTTTTTACGCAGTGTTGTAAACTTAGGCTCTAGAATATTTTGACAAACGACCATAGTCACCTGAATCTAGATCAGCTCAATGTGAACCAAAGAAAATTCTCACTATCAACCAACTTTGCCGCAGCTGTCTGGTTGTTCATCTAATTGCTTACTTTATTATAGTGATTTTCCTTTAAGCTGACCACTGAATGAGGCTGTAAGCTGTTAGATAACTCATTCAATAATTGCAAATCCTATAATATAACAAGCTTGTTATCATGTTATTTTTTAGCTTGACTTCCTGATGTACTTGTTTTTGGCATTTCGTTATCTGTTAAGTAACTTTGTCTATTTAATGTCAAATTCAATTTTTCTGTTGTCAAAGCTGTTGAATTTAATTTCTCATGTGACTTTTATACTATATTTTTCAGGCGCTCTCTCCAATTTTGACGCTGATTTCTTTCAGAAGTTTGATGTAGTTGTTGTTAGCTGTTGCTCCCTTTTGACGAAAGTAAAATTATCTGTTTTAACTTCTGTCTAATAAAATTATCACATTCCTTCCTAACTGGTACCTTTCAGGAAATACTGACAATAGTTGTTTTGGTAATGTTTCCTCTTGCAGAAATCAGTAAATGCTAAGTGTCACAAGTCGCCAAAGCGTGTTGCATTTTACAGCGTAGAATGCCGAGACTCCTGTGGTGAGATATTTGTTGACTTGCAGAATTACAGCTACTGTAAGGTTATAACCAACTCATTTCTTTGTTTATTCCTCTTTATTCTGCTGGATTATATCCTTTTCTCTCTTAAATGCAATTTTTCCTCCCTAAATGATGAAGGTAAAGTCACTGATCTTTTTTCCCTTATTGTCCACTTGGTCTATGTCTTTTTCATATCAAAAGAAATAGGACCATAAGGCCTTCGGTAAATTCTTTCTGTTACTTTTGCAGAAAAAAAATGAAGAGACAATGGAATGCACATTGCAGTATCCAAGTTTTGAGGTATAACTTCATTGAAGCATAAACTAATAACATTTGTTTTATTTAGCCATAATAATATATCGCTAACTTGTTCCACTGTTGAACCTATATATATCTTTCTATTTATGATAAATATCTTTAGGTTAAATAAATTTGAAGTCTTTAGTCAGCAAAAGCTTAGTCCAATTGAAAGTTAAAACTGAAATAAATTCTCAGTGAGGTCAATCTTAGAAAAAATTTCAACTCAAGGTTGTAACATCTCTGTGTCTAGTAGAAAGTATATCATGACTATCAAAGATCGGAGACAATATAGTAGTTCCAACAAACAAATGATAGTTTATTTCGTATTACAAGCTTATAGCATGCATGTTTCACCTTCTGAACATAGAGCCTGCTGTTTGTGTTTCCATTTCTTAATTCACTTTTTACCTTGTTTTAGTGCATTTAGAAGTACTTGATGGTCAGCTTAACTTTGTATGTGGTATTTGTGTAGCTTGTAAAAGTATATGGCAGCTTTTAATTGTAGACGATTTTTGCCTAAGTGATTGTCCATATTGTGCAAGTCTATGATTCAGAGTAACAAGAATAGAAAGCACAGAGATGATCTCCTTACATACCACATCCTTCTGAATGTGTTGTCAATGCCATTGAGGAATTATCAAAACTTGCTTCCTGTGGTTTCTTTTGCACCTTGTCTCCCGTCATTGCCTTTTCTATACTACCCATTCCCAGCATGGGTTACAGCTTTGATGACTTGTTTATTACCAGTCTCAGCACGGATATAGTTCATATTTCCAGTTCTAGTTTAAATTCAGACACATTTGGTTGCATCTAGATTAGAAATTCTGTTGAGTATTAATCTTCCTAAAAGTAAACTAGGACAGAAATGCAGAAACTTTTTGAATAAATTAACATGCAATTCTGAAGTCATAATATCGTCACAAGGTACTGAGAAATACCTAAATTACCTTACACGATAATATTTTCTACACACTGAAGAATCCTTTTTGAACCCTTTCACAACAAAATGTACACTAAAGAATCCCTTTCATACCCCGTTAACAAAAATATCCAATGAAAAGCTTGACTTCATCATTACTCGTTTTTTTAAGTCCATAGGGTTTCCTATGTTGCAGAGTATTACCACAATTGCCCTAAGATTAATATTTACAGGAAGCCATTGCAGTCCCCTGGAGATCACTACCCAAGAGGATGTCAAAGCTATACTTTGCAATGAGAGGTAATTGTATTGCTCAGTTTCTTGTAATTTCTTATGCAGCTATTGTGATGGGTTGTCTATTGCAGTGACTTCTTATCTGAAATTTGCTAAATGTGACTTGATATTCAGCTTTCCATAAAGGAGAGTTATCTGAGTCAGAACTATGATGATTTGCTTAATTTCTGAAAACTTTTGCTTGTCCATAGATCAGAAATACATAAAGTAAGGACCAATCATATACATCTGAGAAGTGCGCCTATAGGAAATGTTAATCTCCAGCATGCAGTAATGTTAGCATAATCATGTCCCCCCTCTCTTATCTCCCGCCTCTGGGAAATACATATGGAAAACGTTTATCTCCAGCAGGCAGTATGTTAGCCTGGTCGTGGATCCCCCCTTCCC